TGACGATTGTTAAACATAACCTTACTTGGCAGATTCTTGTTGACGATTGTTAAACATAACCGGACTTGGCAGATTCTTACTGACGATTGTTAAACATAACCTTACTTGGCAGATTCTTGTTGACGATTGTTAAACATAACCGGACTTGGCAGATTCTTACTGACGATTGTTAAACATAACCTTACTTGGCAGATTCTTACTGACGATTGTTAAACATAACCGTACTTGACAGAATCTTACTGACGATTGTTAAACATAACCGGACTTGGCAGGTTCTTACTGACGACTGTTGTAAAATATAACCGTACTTGGCAGATTCTTACTGACGATTGTTAAACATAACCGGACTTGGCAGGTTCTTTCTGCTAAATGGTGAGCGTAGCCTTACTTAGTGATTTTCTTCATCTGCTGTTTGATGGAGGCAAAGTTTGGCCTGGAAGCTGGATTTTCATCCCAACAAGAAAACAGCATGTAGAGAAAGTTAGATGGACACTCATCAGGGGATATCTCTGGCCGAAATGGTGGCGTAGTACCCAGCTTAACCTTGCGAATTATTTCTGAAAGGCCCATTAAGTTAAGAATTGTCAGTCAACATATACACTACTCCTTAAAAAAACACATCTAAATTGTTTCAACCAGATGTATGAAATTGGAACAGAAAAGAGAATTGGATTTACAATAAAAAGTAAAAAGAAAAAAAGAAACCACTTTGATAATTAATATAATTGCAAACTAGGTATGGAGAGTAGTTTGTTTGTTTGTTATGAATTTCGCACAAAACTACACGAGGACTCTCTGCGCTAACTGTACCTAATTTAGCAGTGTAATACTAGAGAGAAGGCAGCTAGTCATCACCACCCACCGCCAACTCTTGGGCTACTCTTTTACCAACGAATAGTGGGATTGACCGCATCATTATAACGCCCCCACGACTGAAAGGGCGAGCATATTTGGTGTGACGGGGATCCGAGCTCGCGACCTGCAGATTGCGAGTCGAGCGCCCTAACCAACTGCCCATGCCGGGCCAGGAGAGTAGTTAAAATCTTGAATTACCGATGGCTATGTTTTACCGATCCCTAACGATATATGAGAAGCAAAGTATGAAGTTAACGTCGATATGTAACGTCATCCCAGTAATTATTGTTAGGGGTTTCTGCGTATTTTTCATGGAAAATTAGCGATTTCATCCAAATATTTTGAGGATTTTTTTTCTATTGCACTAAGTGTTGTAAGATGCAAACATCATAAAATATTTCAATATGTTACCATTTGTAGACAGACCCGTAACTTAGGGTTAAAAATAGGTTAAAAGCTTAAAATACTTTAAATAGTCGCAAACTTACACTATTTTATTACATCAATATATTAAGTTTCCATTACGTAAAATAGTGGTAGAATTAAGTACTTAATTTTAATTTAAAATTTAGCTGAAAATGGCGAGTTGAATAGTAACAGTTTTTAAGAGAGAACTAGTATACTTGAAGATTAAAAGTCCAGAATATGAAATGATAGACTAGAGGGAAGGTCAACGCCACCTATTGACAACTCTTTAGGTACTCTTTTCACAAACTAGTATACTTGAAGATTAAAAGTCCAGAATATGAAATGATAGACTAGAGGGAAGGTCAACGCCACCTATTGACAACTCTTTAGGTACTCTTTCACAAAGAATTGTGAGATTGACCGTCATCTTATAAGGCTCCCACAGGTAAAAGGGCGAGCATGTTTGGTGAGGGGGTTTGAACCCGCGACCCACAAACTGCGAGTCGAGTTCTTTAATCACCAGGTCATGCCAAATTATTCTAAAGGTGTTACTGTTTCATATGTTAGATGAGAATTTTTGCGAATTGATGTCCCTAAATTTGAACTGATAGACTAGACCCACTAGAGGGAAGACAGTTAGGGCTATCTGCGCATAGTAGTCCCTATTTTTAAACTACTAGATTGAAGGGATAACAGACAGTCGACATCATCCACCGCCAACTTTTCGGTAACTCTTGTCTGACCAACTAAGGTTAGGAGGTCACTTTTATTGTGCATCTACGACCACAAAGTTTAAAGCGAGATTTTGCGGCAGCGGGACGCCAACATTGAGTCTTTCGGATTCACATTCCGAGAACGCTAACAACTAGAGCTCGCCTGGCCCAACATGCTTCAGAAGTCGTGTTTTGTTATCATACCAAGCTGTTTTTGTCTTTAAGCTTATCTGTAAATATTTCAGTCAAATATTTTAAGTGGAATATCCTGATAAAATCAGGTACTGTGCTTTAGAATAATTCGTTATACTTAGAAGAATGTATCCTGAATAAAATGAAAACGACAGATACATTACAACACAAGAAACCAAATAACCAGAGCACTCTCCGAAGGTAGACCTTACTTTTTCAGGGTGAATCTCTTTCGAACGATGCATTATGTACATGGATACTAATGACTGGGTCAGAGACCTCTAGTCTCCAAATATAGCAATTTCTAATATAAACTACTGACCATAGGGAAGGCAGTTAATACGCAGCATCTACCGCCAGAAAGTCTTTGTTCGACTCTTTAAACCGGATAACGGGATTGGCTGTAATTTGTATAATGCGCCCTTAGTTGAAATTGCGTAGCGTTTTTAGTTCTCGAACCTTGTACTTCTCATTCCGCAGCCCGCTCACTGATCACGTCATCACGCTCAGTTCCCTGAAGAAATAAATAAAAGCGCTCAGGTTTTTCGAGTCTGTTGCGTTTTACGTTAATGATAAAGTTAACTCAGTTACCTTTGAATCAAGTTTACCTTTCGGTTGGTAGACCTTGCTTTGCTTCGAGTTAATAGGTTCAAACGGCTCCGACCTAGTAACGATTTCTTGTAAAATAATCGCAAAACTGTAGACGTCGCCCTTCTGTGAACCCTGGAGACCGAAGATTTTGTTACGAATGTGTTCGGGGGCCGTCCACAATAATGTTTCTACAGGAAATAAAAGGAAATATTTAGTCGTTAAATATAGCCAACGGTATTTATTTACTCGGTGTATGGTCAATCACGGTTGGTTTATAATATCAAACGTACTATATAGTGTTATATTATGACCCAAAAATATATATTGTTAAGATGTACGAGAAACGTATGCTGTACCACAAGTGTTCATATTATGTATGCATTATACGAATAAAGAAGCTCTAAATTAGGCAATGAGAAACGTATGTTGTACCACAAGTGTTCATATTATATATGCATTATACGAATAAAGAAGCTCTAAATTAGGCAATAATGGTAGAACCTTTATACTAAAATAACAAGTGTCATCTACGTTGGTGCGGTCGGGTGTTTGAGTCAACTAGCAGAACCTTAATATTACAATAACTCGTATCATTTACGTGGGTGCGGCCCAGTGTTTGATTCAACTAGCAAAACCTTAATATTAAAATAACACGTATCATTTACGTGGGTGCGGCCCAGTGTTTGATTCAACTAGCAAAACCTATTTACTAAAATAACAAGTGTCACCTACGTGGGTGCGGTCGGGTGTTTGATTCAACTAGCAGAACCTTAATATTACAATAACACGTATCATTTACGTGGGTGCGGTCGGGTGTTTGATTCAACTAGCAAAACTTTAATATTACAATAACACGTATCATTTACGTGGGTGCGGTCGGGTGTTTGATTCAACTAGCAAAACTTTAATATTACAATAACACGTATCATTTACGTGGGTGCGGTCGGGTGTTTGATTCAACTAGCAAAACCTTAATATAACAATAACACGTAT